TTCCCACTTTAGCAACTTGTGCAGCTATTTCGTCTGAATAGAAGCATCATAAAAGACGCAAAATTTGTCTTCTACCTGCCTGCCTGTTAGAGTTACAAGCAACCAAATCGTTGTTCATCGTACCAATTCCCGACTACGAACAGAAACCCTTGCGAGTTCATGAGCCATTCCTTATTGTCCTCCACCTGATTACGAGTCTCAAACAGGCCAAACGATTCGGCAAGCAATTAGACAAAAGCAGGGAAAATCATGAAATTCTTGGCTAATCATGACACTGTAATAGGATGAGGGGAGGATGTCTTAAATTGTGTAGATGCAAAGCCAGATAAATGTTCAACTATATCTTAAAGTAGACTTGCTAAGCCAAAGCTACAACAAACTGACAGGCAACATATAAAAATCCATCCACTTTAGGCGACTCCATGCAAATTCGAGTGCTTCTCCCTCTTGCCTACGGTCACATGGAGGCCTCACAACTTGTAGTTCTGATTGCCGATTGGTGGGGCGTGTCGGAGGAGGCTTGCCCTCACAGAAGGAAGGAATCGTCTGCTACAACTCAACAGCACCGAAATTCCACGCGCAACCGCTGGGCTGTCTAGCGTCCATCTGCCCAAGATCATTAGTAGGCCTTGGGATTTCCCCCACCCCTCCCCCCCACGTCACCCTTTCTCAAGGAGGCCGTGACAACCAGACTAATGAGAGAAATGAAGTTACGACGTTATGTCACTCATTTCAGTTACCTCAAGGCCAGACCGGATTTGAGTCGTTTCCAAGGCAGCGACTTGCCTAGTGTATCCTTTAAGAATTTTAACGTATTTCTGAAATTTTTCTTTTGCTAAAATACTCGCTTCATTTGGCGCTTACGGTTTAGTTACACGCAAATGGACAAGAAAATGTGGGTCAGGCTCTCCGTCCGGACAACTCAACTTATCCTCAAGACCACTGTTGCACTCATTACGGACGTGATGATGAAAATAAGGATTTTGCTCATCTTAATGTTGCTGCTGCTGCTACTGGTGATGATGATGATAATGATAATGATAACGATGATGATGGTGATGGTGATGATGATGATACTAGCCACGATGATACGAGTGCAGATTTTGTTTCAGCATCACGTGATAAGTAAGTAGATTCAATGAATTCACGAAGGAGGTCCAGCCTCTTTCATGCAATGCTTTCTCTCGCGTGCTCCTCTCAAGAGTCATGGCAACACCGAAAATAGACTAATCTTTTCCTACAAAAAGGACGAGTCCAGACATTTAAGAGAGACCAAGTTAACTGGAAGAGTTGGCTCGACGTTTTTGATGTTTCACTGCCGGCACAACATCTGCGAAGAGGTCCAGTGTCTGGTGGGTTGCTGGGCAGAGGAGACGATCAAGTTACGAAATTGAGGCGAAATGAGTGCAATAAAGTGGAAGAAGAATATGCTACAGCCGTTCTGGTCTGGCCGAAAGCAACACGTCGAGAGGGATTCTTCAAAACTCGCGTTCGTTTCATGTCCGAAAGCCGATCCGTCTTATTGAATGGTCAGTTAGAGTTGTATGTACCAGTGAGACACAGTCTTGCTGACGGCTAGCAACTAATATGAGTTATGAAAGTTAAGTACATGTAGCCCGATGCCGAATGAGACTGTCTTGACGCTTGCGTCAACAAGGCAACAGAGGAATACGCCACTATTTTATGGTAGATCGAGCATAAAGTGGCTATATTTTTAGTCAAAAAATCGTATCAAGGAGGGATTTACTTTGGTCTTTGTAAAGGTGGGGGTAGGGGAGGGGATAACAAACAGAACATTCAACAACGTACGCTTCACGTCCTTCATAATTCCACAGAATC